TTGGCGTAACGTCAGGCATGATCAGAAGATTACAGTTAGAATAAAAATTGAGTTTGTTTGTAGTTGCGTGTAATGGAACAAGTGGGCGATAGGGTAAAGTCAAGGGAGGTAAGTGCGCAGTTGCAGGTGTGCTATCAAACTGGATATAGCATTGCCAGGCCATGACTGCACTGAACTACCTCGGTTTCTGGACGGCCCCGTAATGGAAGTCATTCTTGAGATGATTTGGCTTGGATATGTTTATGTTAGATCGCAGGTATTTTTCCGACCCGGTTGGAGAGGTAGTGTGGTACATTGTTTTACATATATTCGAAGTTGTATTGGTTCTGATTGTAGTGTGAAAGATGTGAACAATGGACGAACCTGCGTTTGCTAATTTGCAGGGGATTTCCACTGAAGAATGCGACCTTGCAATCTTCAGCTAAATCATCTTCATTATCTGGAAAAGTTTGATCGCATCAGTTTTGGCTATCTTACGAGCTCATTTGTTCGGATATAGTCGAAATGATTTCGGAAGTGAAGATGGTTTGCAACACTTCTGCATGAACGATGAGTTGGATGAAGCCCAGAAGGGTACTGCTCGGTGGCTGGATTGCCAATGTAGTTGAGTAAGTGATGATTGCGAGTTTCGATAAGAAAAACCAAGCCGTCCCAATAAGCTGTGTTTTACCGGTATTGGTGAGCAGAAATCGAGTTAAATTGGGATTAAGTGCTCCAAGCGAGCCCACTCACTGGACCTTTGCTGCGGCTGAATCCATGGTTGCACAGTTCAGGACGCTTCTGGCCCTTGGACCGATGCAACCAATAACGATAAACATGATTTTTTAAAGGTGGTTGTGTATTTTGCAGATGTGGGGTGTTGGCAGGCGGACGAAATATGGATATGTAGAACCACCGTCGGTCGTCTGATTTTTCCAATATGTATATTTGGGACATTATGGCCAACTACAAGCATATGCATGGGCCTGGCAGTTACTATAAGTAGCCTCGGTAGGTGACATCGAGTTTAGTTATGGGTATGACGGGCCGTCGTTGGCCATTCAACTGAGCTGCTGGGCATAGTTGAAGCTTTATACTCAGCGGTTCACATACACACAGGTCTTGCAATTACGATAAGTAGCCAAGGTAGGCGATATCGACTAAACTTACGGGTATGACGGGCCGCCGTTGGCCGTTAGGATGTCACGCATAGTTGGAGCCCGGTTTCTACCAGCCCGCATAGATACTGGCTTATTGTCTACTATGGGTAGCAGGCAGGTACGGCAGTGAAGATCGGTGTTGAACACTGATGTCATGCTCTCGATGATGATGATATAGGTAGCGGACGTAAGCAAGAGCGCGCACAGTTATGGGTAATACGGGCATCTTTGGCAGTTAAATTAGGACACTGCGCATAGCTGAGGCATAATAATCAGCGTCGCATATAGGCACTGGCCTAGCGGTTTCAAAAGGTAGTCAAGGTAAAAGATCCCGCGAACGGTTGTGAGTATGAGGTCAGTCGTTCGCCATTAGATTGGTTATCTATGCACAGGGAAACGGACTCAACAGATACGATCAATAGCCAAGTTAGGTGACTTCGAGTAGAGTTGTGAGTACAATAGGTTGTCAGATGAGGCTATCACGCATAGCTGAGTCCCTATTTTTGCCGGCCGACAGATATATTGGACTGATGTTTACTGTAGGTGGCAAAGATAAGCGGCATCCCGTATAGTTAAGGGTATGAAAGAACTCATTGTCCATCGGATTATGTCACTGTGTATAGGTGCGGTCTCATTATCAGCGTAGCACATAGACGCGGGCCCAGCGGTTACAACAATTATTCAGGATGGGTGAGGACGAGTAGAGATACGAGTGCAAGGTGCCGTTGTTGCTCATTGGATTGGGCTGCTGCGCATACGTGGGACCCCATAATCAGCGTCGGTAAGTAGTCCATGTGCGTGAAAAGGCTACCGTCATCATGGCGATCGCCTTATAGTGGTCAACACCTAGAGAACGTTATAGCCTTGATAGGAATGACGCCCGCAGCTATCTCGTGACGCTGTATTGTGTACAAGCTAGTTATGTATATCTGAGAAAGAGGATCATCCACAGATGGCCCTCGCACTGCTACTGCACAGTTCATACTGTTGTCTAACTTTACTGCGCCGAATGAACTATGAGACCCACGGGAAAAATGCGTTGTGAAAGGATTCGAGGGACAATATCCTCCCATTTGTTATTCTGAGGAGTGTAAAGCAAACTGACATCTACGACTACTTTTCTAGGGTGGAATTTGCATTGAATACTCGTAAGATGTTTTTTATCATATAGGAACAACGCAAGACTCAAAAATATGCTAAAGTGCGAGTTCGTTGCTAAAATGCGGTTTTACTGACCGACAAGAACAAAAACGACCGGGTAAGCTTGAAATTTCGTTCACTTAAACAAAATGCTACGTCCAACATGTCATTGGAAGGTGAAAATTGAATAGGCTAACTCCCTATTCAATTCACAAGTCCGAAAACCCAATAGTTTCGGCGAACTCAATTTGGGTGTGCAAACAGCCACTGTTTGAAGCCAGCGGCTCGACGCACAATGCATTTTTCTGCAACACCCCTGCGGTTGAAATACAAGCTTTGACGTAAAAATGTTGCACTTCTTTGCGTATATGCTCAGACTGAAAACGCCCTCATCTGCCGTCAGTTTTTTGCGATTTGTTCTAATCGATCTCTTTTGAAAATTATTGGCGCACATTCGGCTGTGAACTTCGCCTGCTATGGCTTCGGAAGTGGCTTTCGTTGAGAAATTTGTGGGTGTATAGTTTTCATCCTTCACGGCATCTGAGAAGACCTTAAATGAATACATGGAGGATAACTATGTGATATTTGTGCGTTCATCCAGTAATCGAAGCGTCACGAATGGGTGTACTACAAATGCAGCAGACGCCCTCCAAGACCAACGGAAAGCCGTGGAATCCGAAGAAGCTAGTAAGCCGAGCGTATTTTCTAATAAAAAAGTACGCGAAGCACCAGCTGCCCAGTGCGCTTTTGTCTACCGAGGCAAAGGAACCAACTGGCAGTGACCTCTTATTTTCTGGAACACAACCACAAACTGTCAAAGTTTCTGTACGATCGGCTTCCAGTCAATCGACGCTCAACCGAAAACGAGTTGGGCACATGCCAGGCCCTGCTGAGATATGGAACGCCGTCATCTGAGGTGCGGCAGTTTGTGGCGGATGAATTCGGAAAGATTCTTACAACTAAGGATATACACAACTACCGCCGGAAGTGTCGACCGGCTATGTTGAGTAGGTGCCTAATGGTTGGGTTTTAATGTAGCAGATGATATGCCTTCGGTCCTGGCAAAACTTCGGGGGACCGGACGCGTTCTTGTGTGTCAGGGAGAGGAAGGTCACTATAGCCACATATGTTTCTCCCGATGGCAGCAGATAGCGTTATTCCGACGCTT